AATGTCTGCATCAAACTTTCTGTCACACTACACACATCCGAAGGTTAGGTCTAGCTGTTTGGCCGCCGCGCCAATAGTCCGTAAAACTTCACACATTCAATCTCAAACCCTCAAAACTACAAACTTCAAACCCTAATTTTCATAAATGCCTCGCCGCAGGCAAGATTACAATTTTACCCCTAGCATTAGGTCAAAGAGCCGCCACGCTCATTTTAGGGTTTCTCGCCGTGGAATCCCTAACCTAACCCTAATTCACTTAACAATTCAACGTAGAGATTTGGAGTTTCTACACTCCACGTAAGCGTGTCCTTAAGATGCGTTTATTCCCCTTGAGACCTTGACCACAGTCAAGAAGTCTCTAACCTCCCTTTTGAGGGGAACTACGATTACTCTGATTCCACTCCCGTAAGGATACGTAGGCACAAGATGCGATGTCTTGCCGAGTAAACTTAGAATTAACCCCTTAGGTTTACTTTCTCACTTTTAATCCCTTTGTACATCTACCTTAAGCAAATAAATAAAGCAAATAGTGAACATCTGAACAAAAGGTTCCTGTAGAGTACTACAGAAGTTTAGGGTGCTAATATCTTCCCTAAATTTAACCAACCCCCGAACCCTAGATCTTTCCCCGCATTGTGTTTACGATGCAAAATAGGTTTTCCCTCTTTTGACCTTTTCCTTCGGATAAATCAAAGAGCGGTTGTGAATCGAATTGCGATTCAAACTCATTAATAGTTTGTGATCCTATTTCCACCGCAACACACGCCGCAGAGAGAACTACCCCCGAGCCGGTCAGGCAACAAAGCCGGCCAACCGACCAGTTCCCCACACCTCCGGTAACAAGTATTGTCGAGCTACCACCCCGGACAGGCCCAAGAACACAAACATACAGTTCAAACATACAAACATACATTTTGAGCATATAAAATTGCAGAAATAAAACAAGCATAAACAACATGCGAAAACGAGTCGCACACTTAGACAATTCTCAAAAATATATTACTCAAAAGCGGGCACCAGCCCAGTAGTCAATATTACATAAACAATAAGGGCGCGCAGGCCTGACAAAGAGAACAACAAAACACAAAGTATGGCACGCAGGCCAAAATACGCAGGCACACAGACCCGAGGCTAATCTATGCTCCCTTCTCTTCCTCAGCTTCAGGCTCGACGACAGGGACGACGGGGCCAGCCTCCTCGGCGCTAGGGTCGACCACCCGACCATCGACTATCTCGTGGAAGGGCCCGATTCCATCCTCGACGAAGGCGACGCCGGAGTTCACCACCCTAAGTTGCACGACAGCACCGTTGAAGCCCGCGACGAAAGCATCTAGACAATCACCTTCCAACACCCGTATTCTGGCGAGCAGGTTAGCCCGGGTAACCAGCAACCTGTCGTCATCAGTCTCGTCATCGACAGGAAAGAGATCGCCCTCGAGTTCCACCACACGAGTCTTCGACGCCCGCAGTTCCTCCTCAGCTATCCTCAGCTTCACCTCGGTGTTGTCGCCCCTCTTGCGCTTAAGAGACGCCTCCCCACGAGACTTCTCCAGCTCTTCAGTCAGCTGAGTCACCTTCCCCCGGCTCACCTCCAGATCCTCGACTGCCTTGTTCAGACGGGACTGCGTGAAAGCGAGATTCCCCTGCAGCTTTGACAGCTCGACGACCGAGCAACTTTCTTCGCTCAGGACCATCGCCGTAGTGAAAGTCCGCATCAGCGCGGCCAAGTCCTTGGTTAGAACCTGCCTCTGCGTAGCACGGTCAACACTCAAAATCGCCTTCGCCTCCCCGGCAGGAATACTGGGCGACCTAGCCCCATGGAAATAGTCGGGGTGCTGGTGATAAGGAGCGATGGCGTAACCCTCCTCGGAAGAATTCGCCGATAAGTCAACCATGGGCGCATCCTCCTGAACTCTCGCCCTCTTCGGGGCCCCTTGCGAAGTAGGCGACTGGCTACCGGGCGGGGACGCCGACGACCCTCGTCCGTCTTGTTCTGCGGAAGACTGCCCGACCAACTGGGCGACCCGCGTCTTCGGAGGAACAACAGCCCTTGAGGCTCGTAACTTTTTCACCCGCTCCTTGATAGAAGACATGTTCCCTGCAAAACAAAGAAAGCCGGTTAACAAAAGACAGAAGGGTATCAAATCGTGAGAAGGCAAGGTGTCCACCACCTAGGTAGCGCAGGGCATCCTCCTCCGAGGAACACTCGAGCAAGGTATTTGTATTAATCAACCTCGGCGTCTTCGCGGATGTTCCCATAGTGTTCCAGAGACCATTCCACGTGCACCTGCGGCAGTATGACGGCCTCACGACAACCATCCACGATCCTCCCCCCCTCTGAATATAAAGAGCGAACCCCTTCGTGCGTGATCGGGCTGACCACAAAGAAACGACCTTTGAAGTCCCGGACAGAATCCATATACATTCAGAAAAGCCTGTCCGGTTGCTTGAACGACACCCATCCATGTCGACCACTCACCGTCTGCCGTTGCAGATGGAAAATGCGAAAGAACAATGGCAGCGTGACACCGACCTGAAGATATTGGCATACAACCTCGAAGGCCCGAATAAAAGCCAGGGCGTTGGGGTGTAGCTGCGACGGGGCCAGCCTCAGCCAGTCGAAGAGGCCCAGGTGGAAGTCCGAGAATGGAAACCTGAGCCTGGCCTCTTTGAAGTAGAACTCATACATCGGGAAGCGCATCCACCCATATTTCGAACAGATTCGATGGCCTGACCGAGGACGATAAACTTGCCAGTTCTGGGGATCCCCTTCTTCCCGGTCCTCCACGGTGGCGTAGGCCCCTGTCAGGTCAGAAGCGAAGCAAGAGGGCGTAGACAGAGGCTCCTCGGCCACCCGGTCCCCGACGAGAATGGAACGCTTGCCGAAATGTGGGACATCCGGCTCATTATCCTCGACCATTGTGCCCAGGACAAACAAAGTCATTAACACCTGAAAAGCAGAAGGTAACAGTGAATTCGATGACAGAGATCAAATTCACCCTTCCACCGCAAGTCAAGTGAAAGGGCGACGAGGACACCCCGAGCATCACCCCGGTGGATCTACCCGAAACCTACCACCTCCCCGGTTACTAGCATGGCCCAACCTACAAACTCTCCCCGGGGGCGTCCGTCAGAATAAATGTTGCTCCCCGGGACGTTCATCAGGGTAAGAATCTCTCCCCGGGGTATTCATCAGAACAAGCGTCCTTCCCCGGGACACTCATCGGAACTAGCGTCTCTCCCCGGGACATTCATACTAAAAAACTCTAGAAAACCCCCTGCAACGGCGAAGATCTTCACCTCTCCTTGGGGAATTCAAACTGCCCCGACCATCGGCGTAAAAAAAACAAGAAAACGGAAGGAAAGAGAAAGAAAACTTACTGCGATACGATCTGCGGCGGAGTACGTGGCGGTCGTGGCGGTGGAGAAATCGGAAGGCGGCGGGTCAGCAAACAGCAAACTTGAGAGCGAGAGGGCGAAAAGTGGAGAATGAGCGGGGGCTCGCTTAGTTATACCCCTGCACGGGACTCGAAGCGTCGCTAGGCACTCGAGTACCCTAGGATAGCCGCCCTAGCAGCCACCCAGAGTGCGACACGTGGCGAAAGCAGACAGACGCGCCCCCTCACGTTTCCTCGCCAATACACGTCCTCAAGCCCGGGCAATCGGCGACGTAGGACGTGTGTGCTCGCACTAGAGGATCTTTCCCCGGGCCAGGACACTTCCCCGGAACGACGTCATCAAGTCCTCGCTCCCATCCTCGGAGCAACGACTTGGGGGGATCCTGTTCTGGCCTGGGCCCCGGCCTGACCACACGGGCCCAGCCCAATAATATCCCACCAAGCCCAGACCAGCTTGGGCCACAGCGTCGGGCACCGGGTCTCCGACGAGCAGGAATGGTCTCCCCGCGAGAAGGATCTTCCCCAACCACGTCGGGCAGGAAACTCCCATCACGACCAAACACCGCCCTCAGCGGGCAAGACCTGCCCTCCACGGGCAGAATTTGCTTCCTCGTCGGGCAGGACAACATGTCCTTCACACGTTCTCCTCGTGCTCCCCTCCGCGGGGACACGTCACTAACCGAATGCCCACCTCCGAAAGAGCAGGTCAAACCCACTTTCCGGAGATCACGGGACAGTTGAACTAGGGCGAAGACCACGTTCTGGTCTTCACTACGCCATGTAAGCCCTAGCAGTCACCTGGGTTGGGCCTGGCAATCCAGTCCAACACAAGTGACCGTTGGCCCAGCGCTGGGATCTCTCTATAAATACCCTCTTCCACAAGAGGGTCAGGTAATTCACTTCATACCCATTTCTGTACTTTGCTCTCACTCTGCCCAATTCCTCACTTTGGCATCGGAGTGTCTTGCAGGTACACCCCCTTCTCCTCCTCATCACCAGTGAACAGATAGCAGTCCAACAACGTGTGGCCAGCCAGTGATCCCCTTCTGATCAAGTCAGATCAAATGTATTGAAAACATAAATAATTAGTTCTTTTTAAAGATAATATTTTATTTATTCAATGCAATAGAGATATACTATTTTTTATATTTGAGATTCTTAACCTGTGCTCTAGAACCAACACCAATTAGCATGACCCATTAATTAATAGTAAAAAACTTGTTTGGACACAAAAGCACAAGTTAGAAGATTTATACGCTTAGTTGTCAAATCCAAGATATCATTTGTCCAAAACTAAAATTATATTTTTAGCATTCATATTTCACGAAGAAAAAAAATTATTTTATATTTTTGTCTATGCTTCCTAATTCAAACATTGTAATTCGTTTTAAAAACGTTATACAACTTTTAAAAATTTATCCACCTTTCATTTTATAACAAAGTTGTTCAAATTATTTGACAACAAAACATAACACAAACGTTGTTAAACAAAGTTGTCTAAAATATTTTACAACAAAACATAAAACAAACATTCTAATAGTCATATATAATAAGACCAAACATCATTCACAATTATCATATATTTCAATTCAACAAAAGTTCATGTCTATATCTAAAGTTTGTTGGGTTATATCCGTTATTAGTCTCCAATTTTTGTTGGTAAATTGTTATTCTACAAAGAGTCTTGTTCCGGCTTTGTATGTTTTTGGTGATTCAACTGTAGATGCTGGAAATAACAACAATTTGAATACCATTGCCAAAGCTAATACTTTCCCTTATGGCATAGATTTCAATAATTGCTCTACTGGAAGGTTTAGCAATGGCAAAACCTTTGCAGATCTTATTGGTATCTCATATTATTCATTATTATGATACCTCTTGAAATTTAGTTTTAATCATTATGGTTTCTTGAATTGCAATTAAACATTTTCTAAGATGATTTTTGCAGCTATTAAATTAGGTTTACCGATGCCACCTCCATACATCAGTGTCTCGGCAACTGACAGATATCAAATAGCATCGGGTATCAACTATGCATCAGGTTCATGTGGAATCTTGAATTCAACAAGAAATGTAAGAAAGAAAAAAATTCAATGTATACATTTTTAATCTGCAAATGAAGTGATAATAATTACTATGCGTCTCCTGGGTTTGAACCCTAGGATTAACTTTCAACCTAACTATAACTATTTTTTGTCAGTTGAATTAGTATTTGTGACCTAATTATTTTTTTTTTTTGTGTGTGTTTAAGGGAGAATGCTTGTCATTGGAGAAACAAATTGAATATTTCACTTCAACAGTGATGAATGATATTCCAAGAAACTTTCAGAGCAAAACAAAATTGAAAAAATACTTATCAAAATCTATATTTCTATTATCAACTGGTTCCAATGATTACCTTCTCAATTATTTTAAACAAGTGGGAAAAAACAAAATGGTTAATCCTGAAGAATTTACAGATTACCTTATCGACCAACTTGGTTCCAATATTAAAGTAAGTTTTAATATATTTGATGACTTAACATTAACAAAAGAAAAACAAAATCACCATAACACATGATATTTCTGACCAATATTCTCTGCATTCATTAATTCGACGCATTCACATATTCCACATTTTTTGGAAGTTAATTTTTATTTATTTAATATAAAATAAAATAATTTTAAAATTTTAAAATGTATATATATTTGTAAAATGTAAAATGTATGAATATGACCAACTTTGACTATAGTATATCTCATTTTTTATATTTGATAGTAACAAACTGTAATAAAATAGAATAAGATCAAAACTGAAAATGAGATAAAAAAAAAACTAATTTTTAAAATAAATGGATATAATTATTAGAAATTATAGTTAACTTTTCACTAACTATCTTTTTCTACAGAAAATTTATGATCTAGGTGGAAGAAAATTTGTGATAATTGGCATTGGTCCAATAGGTTGTATCCCAGGTTTTGTCATAAGAAAACCACATACTCAAGATTGCAATGAACTTATTAATCAAGTAGTTAAGCTCTTCACAAACAAGCTTCCAAGAAAGCTTCAAGAGTTGAAATTGAAAGCCAAACTCTCAGGATCAATATTCACTATTTTGGACAGTTTCAACTTATTCATGAAAATACAAAATTCTCCTGAAAATTATGGTGAGTTAATAAATAATAATTTTTTGTAGTAAAAACATTGTCACATGTTTTTTAATATTTCGTAACAATTACATTTTTATTTTATTTTTAATGTTTAGGGTTGACAAATATTTGGGATTCATGTGTTGGAGAAGGAGGAAAACCTTGTGGAAATCGAAAGAAATATTATTTTTACGATTTTGCCCATAGCACTGAAGCTGTAAATGAAATATTTGCGGATAAATGTTTTGGTGGAAGGGGTGTATGTTTTCCTATGAATATTGAGAAATTAGTTCATGCACATTAATGTATGGAAATTATTGATTGTAATTATTTGTTTTTGTCATTATTATGAGTTATCTCCCAATTATACTTGACAAACTCTGAAGTAGTGCTTTTATAATAATAATGCACAAAGTCCAAAGCAGCTCTAACCTCTGCCAAAAATAACGTCATATGTATTTACACATTTTTTCTTCGATATGACGACTAGTATTTTTTTGCAAAAATTTGAGTAAATATTCAAATTTGTCTTTGGAGTTGTAGAATCCAATCAGTCTAATTCTTCATGTTATCAATATTATAAATGACCATGAAATTGCAAGACCCTAATCAATTTACTGGGGTTATAATGATATTATGTTGATAATGGCAAGAGTTGAAACTAAGTATATAACAATCCCGGCCGTTCAATAGCCACAGCAGCAGCAACAGTCGAATCAACAAGGGTACCGAAAGTATCAGAATAGGGCACCTCTGTCGAACCGTCACCTCGAGACTCCGCGCATGTCGTACGCACAGCTGTTACAGACTTTGCTTCAGCTACAGTTGATCCAAAAGAGAAACCTGGCTCCCTTGACAGGGGCACCTCCGCCAGGTTATGACGCGAATGCGACTTGTGAGTTTCACTCAGGGGCACCAGGCCACACAATAGAGAATTGCAAAGCCTTCAAGCACAAGGTGCAGGACATGGTGGACGCTAAGATCATCAATTTCTCAGAGAATGTGCCAAACGTCACGAAGAACCCTATGCCGAATCATAGGGGAGGTGGAGTAAACGCCATTATTGAAGATGAGAGTTTGGATTTGTTGACTGACGTCAGAGATCTGAAGACACCGCTTAGTTTCGTCAAAGCTAAGCTGATGAAAAGAGGTTTCTTTCCAGGTTGTGGAGAGCTGTGTATGGGCTGTGCGACAACTCCTGATGGATGTGAACAGTTGATAGAGGGGATTCAAAGTCTGATGACTGAGGGAATCCTGCAGTTTAGCCAGAGGGCCGAAAGCGGATCAGGAGAGGTAATGCTGAAGCAAGATGATGAGGTTGCCACCATCACCATCCCTCGCCAGACGATAACTATTTCCGCACCAAGGCCGCCCACAATTACTATCACTAAAGCTGGGCCGATACCCTTCAAAAGCACTAACGCTTTCCCATGGCATTACGGGGCAGAGGTCTACTGCAACGGACAGAAGTTGGAACTAGAACCGTTTGGGTCGTCTGTGGAGAACCTAGCGGGAATTAGCGGAATTACTCGCAGCGGGAGAGTGTTTGCGCCACTTGAGGTTGTGGCGGATAAGGCGGACAGAGCTGATGCAACTGATTAAGGGAAGAGTAAAGTCGTCGAAGAGATCCCACGTGGGGTAGAAAAAGACTTACTTGTTAAAGACGCCGAGGAATTTATGAGGTTGATTAAAAAGAGTGACTACAAGATTGTGGATCATCTCCATCAGACACCCTCGAAGATTTCCATCCTGAATTTGTTGTTGTGTTCTGAGGCTCACCGCAACGGGCTTATGAAGGTGTTGAACGCCGCGTATGTACCACAAGAAATATCGGTAAACCAGTTGGAAGAGGTCGTAGCCCACGTGAATGCTTGAAATGGGTTAGGGTTCACTGACCTAGAGCTGACGCCGAAAGGGAGGAACCACAATAGCGCCCTGCACATCTCGATAGAGTGTAGGGGAACGATTATGTCCCACGTGTTGGTGGACACAGGGTCATCACTCAATGTTCTTCCGAAGAAGGCTTTGATGAAGTTGGATACTCGTGGAGTGATTTGCACACCCAGTGATCTGGTTGTAAAGGCGTTCGATGGAACCAAACGCCATGTTTTCGGGGAGGTGACGTTGCCGATCCAAGTTGGGCCGGAAACATTCGATGCGGTCTTTTACATTATGGACATCATGCCTGCCTACAGCTGTCTCTTGGGCCGGCCATGGATCCATTCGGCGGGTGCCGTGACCTCCACGTTGCACCAGAAACTCAAGTACGCCGTCGGAGGAAGCATCGTGACCGTATGTGGCGAGGAAGACATAATGGTGAGCCATTTGTTGTCCTTCAAGTATGTTGAGATGGATGGGGAAATCCACAAAACTCTATGCCAAGCGTTCGAAGCTGTTAAAGTCAAGAACGTAGCTCCTGTATCACTGAGAAGCCAGAGATGACTCTCTCTTCCTTCAAGGAAGCCCGGGCCGTTGTCCAAGCCGGATCTACCCCAGGCTGGGGGCGAATTTTGGAGATGCCTAACAAGCAAGACAAGTTTGGGTTGGGATATTCTCCTGGAGCTGAAGCCTCTTCTTCTAGCAGTGCATCACGAGGTAAAGGGCCGATCCAGTTTACCAGTGGCAGGGTGATATTTGAAAGTGTCAACGCGGTGTCTGAAGACAGCGGAGATAGCGACTGTGACTTAGACTCTTGGATCCAGCCAAGCAAGCCAGGCGAGAGCCTTAACAACTGGTCCGTTAAGGATATCATCCAGATGACAAGCGAAGAGGAATGATTTACTTTCTTCCAATCATTGTACAACCCTATGTCCTACCCGGGGCATAGTGGTTTTATTGTCAGGGCCTCGTTTGATTATGTACATGCATTTTATCAATAAATCAAAAGGCGTTTTCTTCGTATTCAAATGTTGTGATCTCTGTTATTCCTGTTTTATATTTGTTTTGAAAAACAATAAAATGGCAATGAGGTTTGTGCTAACCTGCATATCCTTGTTTTAAGCTTAACCCTTGTTATTGCAGGATCTACATAACAGATGATATCGACTCTGGACCTTCTACGACTCACTTCGACTTCGATTTCCCGATCTATTAAGCCGAAGAAGAGATTGATGAAGACGAAGACCTTCCCGAAGAGTTGGCCCGCTTGTTGAAAAAAGAAGAGAAAGTTATTTTGCCTCATGAGGAAGATATCGAGGTTGTGAATCTGGGTTCTGAAGAACTTGTCAGGAATGTCAGGATAGGGGCTGCATTGTAGAGTGATGTCAAGCAGAGATTGGTCGAGATGCTTCGAGAGTATAGTGACATCTTTGCTTGGTCATACGAAGATATGCCCGGACTTGATACTCACATCGTGGTCCATCACTTGCCGCTGCGAGAAGATTTCCCTCCCGTTAAGCAGAAGCTTAGGAGGACACGACCAGATATGGCCGTTAAGATCAAAGAAGAAGTGCAAAAGCAGCTTGATGCTGGCTTTTTGGAGGTCACTACTTACCCTCCGTGGGTCGCCAACATAGTGCCTGTACCGAAGAAGGACGGTAAGGTGCGAATGTGCGTCGATTATCATGATTTGAATAGGGCGAGCCCTAAAGATGATTTCCCGCTGCCTCATATTGATGTGTTGGTCGACAATACGACTCAGTTCTCCGTATTTTCGTTCATGGATGGCTTTTCCGGTTACAATCAGATCAAGATGGCGCCAGAGGACATGGAGAAAACTACGTTTATCACTCCTTGGGGAACGTTTTGCTACAAGGTAATGCCTTTCGGTCTGAAGAATGCAGGGGCCACTTACCAACGAGCAATGGTTACTTTGTTTCATGATATGATTCATCATGAGATTGAAGTCTATGTTGATGACATGATTACGAAGTCCCAAACGGAGGAGGGACATCTGGTCAATTTACTGAAGCTTTTTGAGAGGCTTAGGAAGTTCAGGTTGAGGCTGAATCCTAACAAGTGTACTTTCGGAGTACGGTCCGGAAAGCTACTGGGGTTTATCGTGAGTGAAAGAGGCATCGAGGTTGATCCTGCGAAAATAAAAGCAATACAAGAAATGCCAGTGCCAAAAACAGAAAAAGAAGTTCGTGGTTTCCTGGGCAGAATAAACTACATTGCAAGGTTTATCTCTCAGCTCACGGCCACGTGTGAACCAATGTTCAAACTGTTAAAGAAAGATCAGGCGATTATCTGGAATGAGGATTGCCAGAAGGCATTCGATAAGATAAAGCAGTATCTACAGGAACCTCCAATCTTGGTACCCCCAGTGGCCAGAAGACCCTTACTCATGTACTTGACAGTTCTTGAGAATAGTATGGGGTGTGTTCTCGGTCAGCACGACGAGACGGGCAGAAAGGAGCATGCCATTTACTACTTGAGTAAAAAGTTTACAGATTGTAAATCTCGTTACTCGATGCTGGAGAATACGTGTTGTGCACTAGCCTGGGTTGCCAAACGTTTACGACAGTACATGCTCAATCACACAACCATGCTAATTTCGAAGATGGATCCGATCAAGTACGTCTTCGAGAAGCAAGCGCTTTCGGGCAGGATTGCCAGATGGCAAATGGTGTTGACGGAATATGATATTCAGTACGTTTCCCAGAAGGCCATTAAGGGGAGCGTATTGTCTAATTACCTTGCCGAACAGCCGATCGAGGATTATCAGCCGATGAAATTTGAATTCCCTGATGAGGATATCATATTTCTCAAAGCGAAAGATTTCGATGAACCGTTGCCCGACGAGGGGCCAGATAGGAAATCCCAGTGGAAATTGATATTTGACGGGGCGGTTAATTCTTATGGAAGTGGCATTGGGGTGATCATCACGACTCCCCACGGATCCCACATCCCGTTCACTGCGAGACTGACGTTTCCAGTCACCAATAACGAAGCAGAGTACGAAGCATGCATCATGGGTCTAGAAGAGGAGTGGGAGACTCGTCAATCGAATTTGGTACCATACATGAACTATGCCAGGAGGCTGCTTCCGTTCTTTGATCGAGTGGAACTCCATCATGTGCCCAGGGCTGAAAACCAGATGGCTGATGCCTTAGCCACGTTGGCTTCGATGTATAAAGTCAATTTTTGGAATGAAGCTCCAAGAATTGTCCTTTCTCGTCTTGATAGACCTGCATTCGTCTTTGCGATCGAGGAAGCCTCCGACGGCAAGCCATGGTTCCATGACATCCAGACCTTCCTTATGACTAAGGAGTATCCTGCGGGAGCATCAACCCAAGATAAGAAGACTCTGAGGAGGCTGTCTGGAAATTTTTATCTCAATCCTGATGGAGTTTTGTATAAAAG